TAAATGAAGTCTAAAAGAATTAAGTTGAATGCAAGGATAAAATTATCTTGTTGGGCAGGCACAAGAAAACCTAAAATAAGCCTAGCCAATACAGCAGATCTTGCATTTCACAATAAAAAAAGTCTGATCAGAGGGTTTTTTTGTATCATGAGGCAAACCCATCTTTTGCTGTTGCAGCTGAAACGTAACCTTCAATTAACAATTTGAAATGCAGTCATATGTTAATGGGTATTTGTGTGTAGAGGGTTTATACATACAAGCATGTACCTTGAACATGTGAACAATATACTTATTTATACTACCGGCGTACAGTTTTAAAAAATAGGAAACATTCACAATGGTATTCTTAGTATTCCTTTTTTTCCAAGGTACTATAGTTCTACCTGGAAGTAAGTTTATTAAAACTTTATGTTGAAGAATCAGTATATTGGCAAGATAAACTTTAAAATTATGCTGCAGACAGAATTATGCCTTACTATGTTTGTAATTATAAGGAGAGCTGTTTATTTCAGCCTCCAGTAGCTGTCATCTTGCTTCAGGTTTAGCTCTAGTCAGAGCCTTGCTGACCAACCTACTGATGTTTCACTAATTGCCACTTGAAAATGAAGAGGAAAACTGCCTAGCTTTGAAACATTATTCATGAAAGAAGGATCATGCTGGCTTGTTTTCAAAACGGGAGCTTTTCCCCCCCTCTTCTTGTCTAGACAAGCCAAGTTCAAGACTTTGTACTGAAAAGGGCTCTCTGGTGTGTCATTAGGCACATTGGTCTAGTCTGCACTGGTCTGGATTTCCCTGTCAGAGTGTTTTGAGGTCACTCCTAGTATCTTGGTATAGACCTTTGCAGGTTTATTTACCAACTTTCAGTTTGATGATACTCTAATGTTTGCTTTTGACTATCTCCGTCAACCTGACTTTGATCCACCTTGCTTTACAAGGAAGGGCTCTCTTCTGGTTTTAGTAAAAGCATGCACTGTTTAAACGCATTTACTGCGCAAACTACTTAAGGTACTGAGTTTCTGCTTACAAGTCATAAATACCTGGTGCTACGTATGTTCCATGTTCAAAATTGTCTGTATTTTCATTGATTAATCTGTTTAATTAATTTGTCCCATTCATATGTTTTTCCTTTGAGCGTTTCCTTCAGACTTGCAACAGAACATGATTATGCAGGCGAAGTTTTGCACTTTTGTGTCCTCCATTGGCTATTACATTTTGTGAGATTTACAAGTGACTTTTGCACAGGCGTGTGTTGTGGGTTGATCCTGGCCAGCGGCTGAGCACCCGCACAGCTGCTCGCTCACCGCCCCTTCCCACCCCGCAGGAAGGGAAGAGAATAGGAAGAATTACAGCAAAAAGACAGTTTAGTAAGTGAAGAAAAGGGGGGGGGGGGGAAATCATGCAAGAGCAGTCACTCATCACCTCCCACAAGTAGACTGATGCCCAGCCAGTCTCTGAGCAACAGGAAGACAAACCCCTGCTTTTTATTGCACAGCATGATGGTGTATGGCATGGAGAATCCCTTTGGTCAGTTGTGGTCACCTGTCCTGGCTGTGTCCCCTCCCAACCTCTTGCGTACCTCCTGCCTCCTCCCTGGGAGTAGCAGGGTGAGGAAAAAGGAAGAGCCTAGACACCGTGCAGGCACTGCTCAGCAATAGCCAAAACACCGGTGTGTTATCAACACGATTTTGATCACAAATCCAAAACTCAACACCATAGGGGCTATTAGGAATAAAGTTGACTCCATCCCAGGCAGGCCCTGTACAGGATGACTGCTTTCTTGGGAAGTAGATTTGGTGGGAGATCACAAGGCAAGATGATTTTGGCACCACGGGCCATTTTAAAATCAACTGGTACTGTGGGCAACCTTCCAGTCAACGTGGGCACATCAACAGGGGATGAGGGGCCTGATTACTTTTTTAATTCACCTTGACAATACTGAATAATTGTGAATAATTCACTTGGACAGTGGTTCGCATATCTGAGGGAAGGAGGAAGTAGCCATAAAATTTTACGAGAAAGGTTCGTTGAGTCTGGTTTTTTGCATTCAAATTTTAATGTGCTCCATTATCTAGGACAAAAAAAGCCCACGTTAAAGCACAATTTTTTTCTCTGGTTAGTCCGCTTATGGTAATGTTAGTTAAAGACCAGAACTTTAAGACTTTAATAGAGCTACTAAAAATTCAATGCTTCATTTGGTCTTTTGTCTGAAGATTGTATAATCTGGTGGCAAATAGAAACCCAAAGTTCATAGCTTTAATTGCTTTTGAGTTGACATCCTGCTTGAGCACTTTATATCAGCCATGGGGGGAAGCGAGGAAAGCTTTGTATCAGGACTCAACACAAAGACACAGGAAAGAATTAAATATTGTGGCCAAAGTAACATACCAAATGTTCTAACTTCAAGCAATATGGTGTTTGATATTTGTCTTTCAAATAGAAACAGTATGTCCTTTACCACTCTAATTTCACCCTGTGTTATATTCCTCATTTAAGATCCGGGAAAGTTTGAACCCTTTCAAGCCAACTTTTCTAATCTTCCAAGGCAGCTTTGTTCTTTTCTTGTTCCAGTTTTTTACTTCATGAAGTTGCAGAAATGAGTTGTAATTATCAAATTGTTAATATTGAGACCAATCTTTTCAGTCTCCTTTCCAAAAGTAACTGTTAATGACCTTCTTAGGTCTTCAGGTTTCAAAGGCTTACTCTGGTTATGAAATTTTTATACTCTATACTCAAAACAGAAGAACTAAGTCCTTAAATGCCTCTTCAGGTCTTTGTTGTAGCAGAGAAGGACAGGGTGACAAAGGGGCAGGGAAAAATATTTTGTTTGTATAGTATTTTATTGTACAATTTGAGTAGTTCAAGTAGTATAGGGTTGGACTAAAAAAGCTTAAATCTCGAGGACCTTATTTAGGCAAATACTTACTGAATTTAAGTGCAGTTTGACCAAGTGGAATAAAAGGATAGATTTTTTCCACAGGAAATGCTTGTTTTTCTTGCATAGTATTTTATGGCTTTTATTTATATTCCTGAGTAGCATTTTATATGTTGCACATGTTGGTGCATATATTTTTGCAGCAGCAGATTCCTGCTGGTGCATGTACCAAAATGCCATTAATACTGTTGATGAAAAGTGTTCAGAGTGAAGTTCGCAAATCACTTTTACCTACAAAGCATATTGCCTTAGAAAAATTATTTTGTTCACTTTCCCAATTTATTTTTCCTGTTGTTCACTATTACCGTGCTTATGTTACACATCGGATACATGTGGGTAAGTATCACACCTCAATAACTGTTTTAGGGGCTTTTTAGAATTACAGGTCCTGTCGTCTCAGTTCAGAGTAAGTCAAGTGCTGTAAGATTAAAGGGAAGTCCCTTGTTGATGCTGTTGGAGATCAACAAATGTTGTCTTTTTGCTGGGAAGGGCCAGTGATCATCTCTCTTAAGCAGAATCAGCCAACTCAAACTGCAGCCCTCAGGGAAGCCCAGGGTTCAGGGAACAGCACTACTTTAGTAAACTACATGTGAGTGTTTCTTGGTTTTAATTCTGTCTGCTTTGCCTTTCCTTGTAAATGAGAATCACCAGAATTTGTCAACATGCTGGAAGTGTAATCATTAAATTATAATTTGTCTAGGTATAATATGTCCTCTGTTCTATATGTGTAGTGTATTTAACTTTGGAAAAACCTAGTGAGAAAGCTTTTTATAATTGCTTGAATATTTTTGTGAACATTTCTTAATTACATCTCAAATACTTACTATAAAGCTTTGTTTCTGGAAGTGACATTTAAATGATCAGTTTAGCAGAAGGGCAATGGAATTTTAATTATCAGCCATAGTAGACATCCTTAGTACATTAAGCCTTCTTTAAATACTGAGGTATTAGAGCTTCAGACAGAGGACAAGTCAGTCAGACTGAAGCCCTGCCTGACTGGGCTCTGAAAATTAGAGAAAAAACACCCAAGATGACAAGGCACTGGACTATAACTCCTATAAAAAGCTACCACTGGTTAGCACTTAGTGAATCTTTACCAGTAAAGAAAAGGCCAGGGGTGGAGGTAACGCCATCCCTGTCTGAAGGGGTAACTGCGTAGCTCTCCTGTCGGTGCAAAATTGGAGTGGGGGACGAGGTAAGGAGATTTTCCCTGACGTTTGTTTTTTAAGAACTAGATATCCGTCTAGTGAGGGATCTTACCCAGGATTAGTTAGCCAGCCTGCATCCTTTTGCAGAGAAAGGAAGAGAAGAAGGAACTTGAGGCAACAATGTTTTTGTTTAAATACTTGGTCTCGCAGGAATCGTTCTCATGACTGAACCGTATTTAGGGGAAACTGCTCCTTTCTTGCAATGAACCGAATGTACAAAATATGGCACGCCTGCCTATAGTGTTCAGACACTTTATAGACATTTTAGAAGTTTACTGACTTTATAAAGCAAACTGGCGTGTGGGAGTTCAATGTGCAGACTGAGTGCTTGATTGTAATTAGTTGGGAGACTGGCAAATTGGCTTTGGGAAGGTAGTTAAGGAATAATTGTCTGTGTCTGGACAGGATTGTTCCTGGTTACAAACTATACTGTTGCCTTACAGCTGATGCTGTTTTACATTGTGCAATACTTTTTTTAATGTGCAACAATTATTATTTTTATGCATAGTTCTGTCTTGCCCCAAAATACGAAGGTGTCACACAAACATGCGTGAGAACAAAGTCTTTGTTCAAAATGAATTGTAAGCAACATGAACTACAAAAAAAAAATCCCCAAATGGCAAATCTGGTTTACTAGTGGATTGATTCTAGTGATCTGGAACGTGTCACGTATACATTTATACATGCAACGCTTACACATTCTATAGTTTTTATTTTGGAGATAAAGTTCCAAAGACCTATCCACCGTGATAACATCTACTTGAAAAAGATTGCCTCTAATATCAGTTATTCTAGTCGTGAAGAAGGTAAGCACCAATTTCCTCACAATATTTTTTTTTTGTTTCTTTTTTGCCTTTCAGAGTGCAAATTCACCTGCGCCAGTGGTAAATGCTTGTATCTTGGTTCATTGATTTGTAACCAACAGAATGACTGTGGGGATAACAGTGATGAAGAGAACTGTCTGCTTGTAACAGAGCATCCACCTCCAGGCATCTTTAGCTGTAAGTACCGGCTCTTTGTGTGAATCCCTGTATGTATGTTTGTCGAATATGTCTGTTTACCTCAGAAACCAGTCTGTTCAGAAGCTTGATCTGCAGTGTGATTTCTGGGGGGGGATGAGACAGAGGAAGTAAATTCTGTTTTTCTCTGAAGCAGCAGTGATTTGTAACACCCTTTCTCTAGGTTTTTAAACCTGGAAAGTTGTGGTTATTCAAAGGGGGTCTGTGCTGCAGGTATTGGTGTTATAATCATATGGATCTTGTGTAGCTTCTGAGAAAGAACGCGTAATGATTAAATAATTTGTTTTCCAACATTCTAAAAAACATTTGATGCTTTGTCTTTGTGACAGTCTTAATATGTTGTTAAGTCTACTAAGAAAGGCTTTTGTGGGTATATATTTAAAATAACTTTAGTTGCCATTCTTTGGTGCATAAATATCTCTCACAGAGTGCCAGAGTTTATCACCAGAATTGCTCTTAGTGTTTTGCCCTCGGTGATGTACACTGAAATCAAACTTTGTTGGTTTTTTTTTATGTTCTGCAATAATTTATTTTGAAGCCACAATTCAGCTTTCTGGATGGGGGAGAAACTTTCCAATAATGCTTCTGGTCTACAAGTGTAATAGAAGTGCTGTTATATTACTTACTGCTTTCCACATGGTTTGGTTCTGCCAATACTGACGTCGCTCAGCACGCTGTTTCACCGTGGGTTGTGACTATGCCTTAGGTATATCCATGTTACTTATATTGTTATTAGTAATAGGAATTACAAGCAGCATGTATCTGTGAGCTTTGTACAAACGCATGTGCCTTTAGGCAGGACAGAATCACTGGAGTGGATTCAAATAGAAGATGAAGTCAGGTGTTGGATATGCACCTTTCCTTCTCTGCCCTCTGACTTCCAGTTTAGCATCTGTCTAAATGTTGTACTGTAAATATTTTTAAATCTTGTACTTTGTGGTACTTTGATACCTCTGCAGTGATTTCAGAGGTTTTGAAATAATAATGGCCTACATATGCTTTCCTATAATTTCATTTTATTTTTGTTTTGATTTGATTTTTGTAGTGAAACTCTTTCCAAAGCCCCAGGACTAGCCATATGCTTTGGTAATGGGTCCAAATAAAAATGTCACCTGTATTTGCCCATGAACTTAGGCTAACCTTGGCTTTTGAGTTTTAAAAATGTTATGCCTTATTACTTGTGTATGCATACCTTTAAAGTTCAAACAGAGGAATTTTTTTGAGTGGGATACTGTACAGCTCTTCTCTTAAGCCAGGCCAGCACAGTCATTCACTCAAAAGGAGCAATGAAAACCACTGTGGTAGAAGATGGAGGCAAGGACTGGTGGTGGCCCTGTGTGTCTGCAGTGTGATGGCCACAGCCTATGAGTTCCTAGGTGGAGATCCTAGGTGGAACTCCAAAAGCCTCCTTCAGCTTGAGGTCTGATAGCCCAGGCACCGTTGGTTTTTCAGTACCCCTCCGTCCCTGTGGCAGTTGTGCAGTAATGACAGCAACGTGTTGGCACCACATGCTGGCCTTCTCCTTGAGAGGGCTTTGGACTGTAGAAACGGTTACTTGCGTGATCCAGGATCTGCAGACCTCCTGGTCTCTCCCTAAGACACATCCCTCCCTTCAGGCAGTGCAGTAGGTCGAGAACATGAAGCCTGAAAGGGAGCAGCACTGGTCAGCTGGTGGGTCATCCTCCTCACCTCCAGCGGCGTAAAGTTTATCTGGACCAAACACAACAAAATGTGTCTGCAAAAAGCCTTCAGTGGCAGGTTTCCTACTGCTTGCACTGGAGCTTCAGTTTTATGATCCTGTCTCTGAAAAGTGGTGCGGGTCAAAGTGGTGGCGTTTGTGTCGCTTTTCAGTAGACCTAGATAAAAATTGTCTGCTTCCTTCCCAAGTCAGCCTTTTACAGACCTGAGGACTGTTACTACCCATCTATCAGTTACCTTTTGGGAGGGTTTTAAAAAAAACACCCTAAAAAAACCAAGTTCCTTCAGATGAATTGTTTTTCGTTAATTCGGTTATATTTATTTTTTCTGACTCCTCCTAAAATATGGTGTCCAATAGTCCTTCTACTGCAGATCTCCCCAGTGCTCGTGAAAAGGAATAATGAGGTGAACAGTCCTTCAAGAACTGTATTTGCTGGTTTTGTAATAACATTGCGAATGAGTTTGTACAGGAAATATTTGATTTATTGCTAGGAACATTCGGAAGTGTTTAACTTTTTACTTACCTTGTGGCAGAGAGAGCGGTTCATTGTTTGTTGCATTGGGGATATTGCTAGTGAGGGTACTTTTTCATTGCAATAGGGACTGTGAGACAAGTGCTGGTAAATAAAGAGACTTCTGTTTTAAATAAAAAAACAAAACCCAGTGAAACAGGGTCCTAAGGGTGAAACAAAGAGAATGAAGACCGAAGCTAGATGGAAAAATAATACAAACAGAAACAGTGCTTAAAACAAATGAGGATTAGTGATTTTTATCATGTTGGCTATTAAACAGGCTGTTACACAGTAGCAATCACTGCCAATTGGTAATAGGAAAGAGCATTATTATGAATGTGGCAGTTGGTTGTATTGGCTTATTCCAGCCTTAAAAAAAACGTTACTAGAATACTTGTTGAAGTGAGGTCCCCAGGCCTTAGAGGGATGACATGTTGAATTAAGGAACTTGTGCATGCCTTTGCTCAAATGATTTTAATGGGGATCCCTACCAGAGTACGCCAGAGTATGTGCACTTGATGTCCCAGCTGACAAGGCTACCTTCCAACACTGGACTACATATATTCATTCGTCTCTAATTAGTGACAAGAAGGTAATACAGCACCATACAAAGAAAATGAATGTTAAAAAAGTCCCTTGAGGAATTTTAAAGCCATAATTTCTTTCTGGTCAGTGTTACACTTCAGCTCTGTTCTTGCACCTTCTTGCTTGTGCACAGTTCTTGAACGGGCAGGAGACTGTTGAAAGGAGCCACGTGGAAGCGTGTGCTGGTCTATGTCCAAGCAGGGTGGCCTGTTGCTCCCTGGGACTGCCCTTGTCTTTACCCACAGCACACTGGCACTACTGTGGTATGCCTTCCCTTCTGCTGTTTCTTCAAAGAATCCCTTTCTCTTACTGTAGTCAAAGCTCCTATCCTCCCATGGTGGAAACAATATTCATCTCATTTCACAGTGATGCATACGCTGCCCCCAAATGATGTCTAAATAAATAAATTTTCATATGGAAGTTCTGCTTCAGTTTATTTAAGCAGCATGTGCCATGTTAGCGGTAGCCCATGTTTCCTGGCTACTGAAGCATTTCTCATTTGTGTTCTTGCCAGCAGCCAAATCCAGAATGTCTCGTTGGAGCTTATTGTTTAGTTTAGTTAAGTTGCATGAGCAGTGGTATAGAAAGATATTTTTTGTGGGTGACCTGCTCCCTGGATCTCGTGATCATAGCAGACGCTATCTCAGTGTGTTAGAGGAGTTGAAATCTCCCAGACCCGGGGTTCCTCTCTCCTTGCTGTTCTTGCTATCTGGCTCCAGTGGGAAGGCTGTTAATTCAGTCTTCTAAACGTTGCTACTGGACTCCATAAGATGTCTCATTTACTTATGCAAAGTTAAACAAAACGTGTCTTTTTGTGGCCCTTTGGTTTTATTAATTTTCCTCTGCTGACTTGTAGGTAGAGTTTCCTTCTGCTGCAACGTGGGCCATTTAGTGAGGGCAGCCGGGGAAAATCTGCGCCAGCTCCAAGGTGTGTTAGAGCCTGGTTTTAGACACCCCAAGCTGCCGTCCAGCAAGTTGGTCAAAATACACGCTGCGGCGTTTAAACTGAACGTGTTAAAGTACTGGCTTGTGTGGTTCACAGTGAGATTTTTAACACAGGTTTGATGATGTACGTTGATGTATGTATGTCCCCTTCCTCGCTGGGCTACTGCACGTTTCCCCACAGGTAGCCTCCTGCAAAGTAGCCCGTGTCCGCTCACTGCTTTGATTTTCATCAACTATGAAGACTTATTGATTGAGATAATGGAGATGACTGTTCTTTTAACACTCCTCGGAGGTCGAGGGTGTATTTAACAGCACAAAGCCATGATGGGAAAAATGAGATGAAGAAGAGGATTTTAAGCATTGCAGACTTGGCCTTGGCGGCGGCTTGCCGATCCATGTGACCTGCAAAATTTGGACTCGGAGGAATTGAAACAATGTGCCTGCTTCTAGCAGGACACAGTTCATTTGTTCGAGCTTTTCCCTTTGTTTCGCAACAAATGATCAGCCCGCCTTGTCCTGCTAAAAGTAAATTAGATTTTGAAATGGGAAGTGTCGTCTGTTGTCTGTTTGCAGACTGTGGTATCCAAGCCATGGCTAATTGAGAAGGGTTGCGACGGTGGAGATTTTAGCTCTTTCATTGTTTGGTGGAAAACAGTACCGGTAGTTATCTCTGCCGTGATCTGTACGTGTTCGTGGGCATATGAAATATAAATATTGACATGCATGAAAATTTGAAGAAGAGTAAAAGAAGGGAGAACAAATCCTTCTTGTCATGTGAAAATTATGTCTACATCAAATTTCAAGTTGTCAGCATTGATGGAGGTGATGTGTCATGGCTGTTTTGGCATAGAAGAGTTTGCTGTAGGAGTTCATTTTCCTCTGCAAGGTAAAAAAACCCAAACAAATCAAATATATAGCTCTCCCTTTCACCGCCCCCACCTACTTCTGTCAGCTCTGAGCCTTGTAGGGATCTGCAGGGGGTTGGAGAATGATTCTGTTTTAAAAACAAAAAGCTCAATCAAAGGAAAATATTTTGTTTAAAGAGACCTTTGGCATCCCCCTCTGACTGTGACACCGAATTTGCACAGATAAAAACAACCGCTTAGATTTACATTTTGATTGTGCTTCTGCTTTCATGTGTGCCGGGCTGGCCCACTTCAGGTGAAATTTATCCATTTCTTTAAATATTTAGCAGTCTAGCGTTGATGTTAATGAAAGTCTGGCACTGCTATTTTGAGCATT